AGGTGTGGTGGGACATGCCTTTATTCCAGCACTCAGGAGGCAGAAGAAGGTGGATATGTAGGCCAGCCTGATCTACACAACAAGTTCCATGCCAGCCAGGGATACACAGTGAGACTATGTTTAAAAATACAACACTAAAACAAATAAGGAAATGGAGACTCAGAGAGCTTTGGCAATTTACTTAAAGCCATGAGCGAGGCTCAGCCAGGAGCTGACCTTGGATTTATCTGGCGACAATTGCCTGTCCAACAATGATCTCTCTCTCTCTCTCTCTCTCTCTCTCTCTCTCTCTCTCTCTCTCTCTCTTTCTCTCTCTCATTTTCCTAGTTGGGTTTTGACACAGGATCCCTTGTAGCCCAGGCTGGCCTCAAATTTGCTGTAAACAGGACGACCTCAAACTATTGCCCTTCCTGACTCTACCACCGGAGTGCTGGAGTTATATCCTATGCCACGGCCTTTCAGAACACCACACACCTGCACATCACGGTATGACAGCAACAGATTCATGATGATATCAGGGCTCAACAGCTCTACACTGTCCAGCCTCCTCTGCAGACGAGCCAGCTCCTGCCTCAGCTGCTGCCCATTGAACCGCTCCCGAGCCTGCCGGATATCCTGCCGAATGGTCTCCCGGAAATAGCCGCTGATGCCCAAGGCCAGGGAAAGGAGGGAGAGAGAATGAGGGGTCTGTCCCTCAGCCCTAGCCCACTTTACCCTCACCAGCCTCTTCCTGGTGCCCCCTCCTTGTCAGCCCCGTTACCAAGAGTCTGTGGGTGTGGCCTCCAACAGGCGGGCAAGCCGGCCCACCAGGGGCGTGAGCAGGGCCTCGGTGCCTGCCCCAGACTGTACCAGCCCATCAGCTATGCCCCTCAGGAGGCCTGCGTCACCACATAACACCCGGCCAGTGGCTGTCACCACATAAGGGATCAGTGTGTAGCTGCCAACGCAGTCCTGGTGGGAAGAAGGCAGCAATCAGTGGAGATCACCCACGGGTCAGCAGAGGGTAAGCAGATGCTCAGAGGTTAGTACTAATGAATATAGGAATAGAAGAAAAGGACCACGCTTTACAGGGGGATGTGACATGGAACGGAGGGTCACACGGATGTCAGAGATAAATGAAGACGCTGGGAATATTAGTGGAGGTCAGAGGTCACAACATAGTACGAACGGTAAATTCTGCTCACCGAATTCTTCTGGAAAACATCCTCCTGCAGGAGGCAGACAATCAGATACTGGCATTCTGGGAAGACCATACACCCCAACCCTACCTCTGTCCCCGCCACCCATCTGGCCACTTACACGCAGGGCCTGCAGGCCGGGGAGCTCTGCCTGGGAACAGAGGAGTACGTTGTTGGTCATGCTGAAGCTCTCCCGCACGCCCAGGTGGTAGAACAGGGAGGGCTGTGCCAGGGAGTTGCTCACCTCCAACACCACCACATCTGTGGACACAGAGGTGCGGGCCTGAGGGCTGATGCACAGCTCAGCTCCATGGGGAAGGAGCCTGGAGACGGATGCCGCTTCAGCCGCCCTGCCTGCCCCTCCTGCTACGTTCAGTTCTACTCCAGAGAGCTTCCCAACGCTTTCGCAATCCTTGTATTGCTGCTGTCACAGAAGATGCCCAAGGACCCTCATCCCCCGCCCCCCCTCCCAGAGCCTGGAAGCCCCAGAAAGGAGATATATGAGGGTGCACCAGCTCAGCAGTTCCAGGTTATGGAGGAGACAGGCACTTTGCAAATAGAAGTCCCATACTCTGGCTCCTCAACCTAGTCTCTGTCTGTCTGTCTGTCTCTCTCTCTAGTTCTCTCTGTGGTTTATTTCATTTATATGTACGTGTGTGTCAGTGTGAGTGTATGACAGAAGAGGGCATTGGATCCTCTGGAGAAGAGGTTATAGGTGGCTGTGAGCCACCCCATGTGTGTGCTAGGGACCTCGGATCCTTGAAAGAGCAGCTGGTGCTCTTAACCGCAGGGCCATCTCTCCACCCTTGAAGCCAGGGTGTGTAAAGACAATACTGTGCTTTTATGTGTGTTTGTGTAGCTTACTGAATCCAGCCATCTTTAAGTGACAATATCTGCTAGGGAGGGACTGTATGAGTCAATGCGGATGAGTCCACGACTGTATCTGTGATCTACTCGGGTCAGCCTTTATTTTTAAGCTGCAGTTTCACAGATGTCCAGGAAACACGGTTCCCTGGCTCTGGAATGAACAAATGGATGGGTGGAGCATCCGGGTAGGTGGGAAGGAGAGGAATAGCCCTCTGACCTCACCTCTGGCCGCCTCGTCCCTCCCCCAGATCAACCCCTGCCCCGCCCATTCTCTTCTAACTCTCAAGTCTCCAAAGAGATTCTCCTAGAATCCAGTCCCGACGGGTTGTCTCGGGACTTCCTTTCCCGCCTCTGTAGCCCGATCCTTGGATGTAGTAATGCTAGGACTTCTCAACCCCAACCTTGTAGAGTCTAGGGCAAGAGCCTCTTGCCCTAGACCAAGCACCCTCTCAGGATTCACTTAAATACTACGTGAGATCAGTGAGATCATCGTGAAAACGCGTTCTCCGGCCTACGCAGAGAACCACAGCTCTGCCCCCTCCCTCAGCTCCGCCCCTAGAGCTCGCCTGCCCCGCCCCACTTGCGACCGGAGACTACTTCAACTCCCGCCCAGAAGCCGGGCCTGGACTCCCAAATCCAGGCTCGAGCCCCGCCGCATCCATAATCCATTAATCCACGTCCATGCCCCTGTTGTTGTCCCAGCCCCATCTCAAGTCCTGCTTTAGCTTACCATAGATGCCGTAGATGTGATACCCACGCCCGCCCCGTCAGGGGTCGCCGAGCTCCGCCCCCTTACCCCGCCCAAGCTCAAGCCCCGCCCCCAGGGGCTCACCCGCGTTGTAGAAGGAGTCGAGCGCCGTGGTGTCACCTAGAGCCAGCGTCGCGAAGGGCAGGCTGCGCAGCTGCGGGGGCGGCCGCGTGCCCTGGAGCTGGGCGCAGGCCTCCCGCAGGCATCGCAGCGGCAGCGGCTCGGCCTCGGTTCCCGCGCCGGGCTCCACCCCGGGCTCGGGCTCCCGGGTCAGCACGTAGACCACACTGAGCGGCCGGCTCCGTGCGCAGCCCCGACCCGAGACGGCGGGGGATGAGCGGCCCCGACTCAGCGCCTCCGCCAGAGGGTCCTGCCAGCAGCTGCCCGCGCGTTCTAGAACCCCGGCCCCGGGACACGGCCCCGCCATGCGGGGGCGCTCGGGCGCCAGGCGCCGGGCGCGGGGGACCCGGGACAGGGCGCGAGGCTGGGGATGTGGATCCAGCCGGGATCCGGAGATGGGCTGGACGTCCTGTTCCGGAAATCTGAAGTCCAGAGAGAAATCTTTGCTCAAACTTTCACGGTCCTTTCAGATCCGCAATACAGAACTGGGTTCTGGGAATCTGGGGTACCCAGTAGTCCTCGGCTCACAGGTCACAGAAGGATCCTGGCAATTCAATCGGCAGTATGCGACACCCAGACTTCTCAAGGGAGTGCTGGCAGTCACTGCTCTGCCCTCACATGTAGGCTGGGCCCAGCCCTTTCCCGACTGGGAAAGCTCCACCCTCGGCCCTGGGGCAATGCGGCGGCTCCCCAGCGACTCTCCCTCCCTCCTCTCCTGCTAGAACCTCTGACACTGTCCACTTCCGGAACAGCCTGTGCCCCTATTCGGGCCAAACACTGTGGAGTGCTCACGGCAGGCGCTCCTAAGATGTGTGACCCGGCCAGGGAGAGGGAACAAGAGGGCCCTCGCCCTGCAGGGATCGGGTGAATGAATGGATCTCAGGACAAGGAGGGGTGTGCGTGTGTAAAACACTGTGACTAGTAGGTGTCCCGTGTAATGTTCATGCTGGTAGAGGGTTGACGTCTTGAACTTGGACGGGCTGCTTTCCCAAGAGCCTTGCTTGCAGAGAAGCTATGCTTACTATAGCGTCTACCCAAAACTTGACCCTGGGACTGAGGAGCACTTCCATTATAAACTTCTTAGCTTCTCTTTGAAGGGAACTTCAGAAGCTCCATCTTTGGGGGTTATAAGAGCATCCCAGCTTCAAGTTCACCAAGATCCTTTAACTTCCTAGTATGAATTAGTGACTAAGGAATGAGTTGGTATAAACCCTAGGGGACCCTGAACTTGGGAACTGGGGACTTTGGGAATCTGAGGTTGATCCAAACTTAGAACTACCTGTCAGATTCTTAGGACCACGTTGTTGCTGCCTTTGCTCTTAATGGTGGGGCTTGGGGCTGGAGAGAGAGCTGCTAAAAGCATCTGTTGCTTTGGTTCTCAGCACTCACATATATATGGTGGCTCACAACCATCTGTATCTGTAGTTACATGCCCTCTCCTGACCTGAATAGACACGGCACACACGTGATGCCCGTGCATACTAAAGGCAACACACTCACACACGTAAAATAAATAAACCTAAAAACATTTAAAGAATATGTTGGGGCTTTGGACAAACAGACAAATAGTAGGAAGCTATTTGCTTCACAGCCCTGTTGCCTCATGGAAGAAAACCATGCCTTCCTTGGTTTGAGCCAATGGGACAGGCAAGAAGCAATAGAGAGGGAGAACTTGGCCCGTTACAGAGCTTAGGGTGGGAAACACTTTATAAGAAACAAATAGGAGCCAGTGGTGGCATAGACTTTAATCCCGCCCAGCACTCGGGAGGCAGAGGTAGGCAGATCTCTGAGTTCGAGGCCAGCCTGGTCTACAGATCCAGTTCCAGGACAGCCAAGGCTACACAGAGAAACTCTGTCTTGAAAACCAAACCAACAAACAGAAAACTACAACAACAACAATTCTTCCTTGCATAGAGCTGAAGCCAATGTCCCTGCTCTGTTTTCTATGGGTTTCTCCCTAGTAAGAAAAAGTAAAAGTCCTGAGAGCCAGGAAAGGGTTACAGTCTGGACCAGGAAGCAGCGGCGGTTGGCAATGAGGTCTCACGGAAGCTGTGAGGAGTGATAAGAGCACTGACAATCAGAGGACTCTAGCGAAGCATCATGTGAACCCTGCAGTAGGGGTGACCCATGCCTCTGCCTGAGGCCTAGTCGATGCCATACTTGTGGGCAGTGGCCTCCGATGCAGCATAGTAATAGAACCCTCTCAAGACTGGCTCAGTAGCAGGATCTGTACCACCAGGCACCAGGGACCGCCACTGCACAGTTGCCCTAGCTTGAGTCATGGTCTGCGTCATAGGTGGTAAAAGCCTTCCCATTGTGGAAGCTCAGAGAGTCCCCTGCAGGGAGGAGTGGAGTGCGCCTTGGCACCCTGAGAGAGAATACCCCAAGGCAGCCTCCAGTCAGTGATGAGGTAGACATTATCGGTCCCCACGAGACCCCGACAGCACCAAGGGCCAGCCTTGTTTGTTTGTCTGTGGTCATTCAGCTAGTCCGTGGGATTGGGACTTGAGCTCAGAACTATCTTGTTCCAAGCTCCAAATCTTATCCCCTCCAGAGCTCACAGTTTCTCTCTACCCTCTTTGTCTTCTCTCAGCCCCAGTTAGCAGCCTGGGCAACCGTGTGCCAGGGAGAGCTGGGAGGAACCTCTTGGGCCTGGTCAGGAAAAGGGGCTCCCCAGAGGCACCTCCCCATAACCACTTCCCCCTTTCAGATATCTCCCAACACTCACTGCTTCTCTGAAAGAAGTCTCTCTGGTTCCTGCCTCCAGTACAGAATGTGGCTGCACATCAAAGCCTCAGCTAGCGGCCCTGCCCCCACACTGTGGCCCCACTCATGTTGTACAAGGGGAAACTGAGGCTGTGGCCGGGAAAGGACTTGCTCAGAGTCCCATAGTAAGACCCAGCTGCACCCTGATGTTCTTCCCTAGAGCTTAATTCTTTCCTTCCGGCACCGTCTTGTGTCAAGATTGCCATTTCTCAGATGAGGAAACTGAGGTGCGCAGAAGGGAAGAAGTCACCTAGCCTTATTCATGTGCGCAGGGAAAACGTTGAGAAGCAGCCAGCCTCCCTGTTCCCCCTCTTCCAGGGGCCCCCTGCTGGCCACTCCCCTGCAGTGCCCTCTAAGAACTTGCCCAGCACCCACTGGTAGCACTTCCAAGCGGACGAAGGTACCAGTGCCTTCGAAGTCTTCTAGCTCTACCTGCCCTTCCTGGGCACCGGGCGGAAGAGGAGGCTGGGATGGTAGGGATTTGGGCTTCCCCGGCCCTCTTGCTGGGAACTCACCCTCCAGAGTAAGCTCGTGTAAATTCTCATTCTCCAGCCAGAACTCAGACTCCTGTCTCTCCAATCTGCTTTGTAGGAGGTCCAAGAGTGGAGGAAATCCACAGACCCATCCTGTCGTGCCCGGAACACCTGGGTAATACCTGTGCACGTGCTACGGCTCCAAACTGGTCTGGGGCAGGGGAAGCCAGGGGAGGTGGCAGCTGAGGCTGGGTGGATGGACACTTCTTTGCTCTTTGGATTGGGGGCTTATTGCTCAAATGTGTCGCCTCCGAGTGACACATTTGAGCCTATGAATAATGATAAACTCAATTCCTTCATTCACTTTTGTTGACACTCAACCCATGGCAAAATCTTGTAAGCCCCTGGGGAGATTGAAATGATAAAAACACCGTCCTCATCCCTGGGAGATGGGATGTCCTGCAGGAAGTCAGGCAAAATAACCTGATTAATTTGCTGTGATAAGAACTGAGATATTTAAACGTTGCCTGCAGAAGCCTAAGCTGGATTCTTGGCCTTTTCCTGCTGCCTTTTCTTCCTCCCCAAGCGAAACAGCCCTCCAGCCCTTAGAGTCCCCTCCTCACTACAATCCAGATTCCACCGATCCGCTTTAACTGTCTTCTGCCTCGTCCATTGAATCTTATGGTATAGCCTGGTTTTTGTTTTGTTTTAAATTAAAAAATTATCTGTATGGGGAGAGAAAGAAAGTGCGCGTGCGTGTGTGTGTGTGTGTGTGTGTGTGTGTGTGTGTGTGTGTGTGTGTGTGTGTTATGCATGTGTGAGAGTGCAGGTGCCCTAGAAGAGCATGTCAGATCCCCTGGAGCTGGAGTCAGGCATATGAGCGTACCGGTGTGGGCCCTCTGCACAGTCAGGCTCTCTTCTAGCCATGAAGCCATCTCTCCAGCCCATGCTGCCCACCGTGGGCCTCTAACTCCAGATACCCCAAGTGTTAGTATTACAGGCATGCACTCCCATACCTACATCTGACTTATCTTTCTTTTTTCTTTTCTTTTTTTCTGAGACATGGTTTCTTTGTGCAACAGTCCTGGCTGTCCTGGCACTCACTTTGTAGCCCAGGCTGGCCTCAAACTCACAGAGATCCACCTGTCTCTGCCTCCCGAGTGCTGGGATTAAGGTCTTTCTAAAACTAAGTCTGCCCTGACCTCTTTTCTGCCTAAACTTCCTGCATGGCTTCCCCATTGCCCTCCATATCGGTAATGCAATGTCCTCTGTGAAGAGGCCTTTGCAAAGGTGCTGGCTGCATGCTAATCTGCTGCTAAACACTGCCCTCCCAACACCCTCAGCTTACTCCCAGGACTCCTTAGCCCTTTCATCCTCCCACTTTCCTGAGTTTATCTTTGCTTCTACTTGTAAAGTGCTCCTGCACCTCATGTGCCTAGAGAACTTCTACAGGGCCTTTAAGGTCCTTCTAAATGACACCTCCTCCATGAAGCCTTCTCAGACTTCTTCAGTCCCTGCAGGAGCTGGGCAAGCTCCTATCTATGAAGTCTAGTAAGTTATGCCTTGCTTCATTAGACTTTGGCTTCCTTTAGGGAGACAGGGAGAGCAGTGACCACTGGGCTTTGCCTATGTCCTCTTTTTCTTACCAGCCAGCTACTCCCTGAAGTGTCCATGTCTCAAAAGACTGGGAGAGCTCTGGTAGACACAAATGGTACCAACCACTCAAGGAAGCACTGGGACTCAGCAGTTTCTGGCAGCTCTTGAGACCTGGGAAAAGGGAGAGAGATTGAAAAAGGCCCCAAGCCATTTCCCAGACTCCTCTACCCAGATTCTGGAACAAGTAAGGGACCAGCAGCCCCCTCAGATCCAGTGAGCTTCTGAGGAGGGGGCTGTGAAGAGACGTGAGGAGAGGCTCCACCACGCCTGGAGCCTTCCCAACACCCCAGCTTGGTCTGATTCCAAGTTCTTTGCTCCTGTAAAGGCCTCCTCACCCACCTGGCACCAGAGCAGGCCGGCTGATGTCCTGCCCAGAGAGAAAGAGCTGGGTGTTGACTGTGAGGTCTGTGCACCTTAACTGAGGTTCCGTGAGCCAGCAGTGAGGCAGAACCAGCCCTACTCCAAATTCTCACCATTCCCTCTGACACTTGCAGCCCTAAGTAGTGGAGAGGGCCCAGCCCTAGTCTGGGAACAAAGCAAAGTCCGAGGATAGCCTCATGATCCCCAGGCTCCCCCTTGGGATCCATCTTGCCTGGTGGTCCAGGTCACCCTGAAATCCCAGAAGCAGATGTCCTAAGTCCTGCCCCATGCTCAGGACAAAACAAAAAACAAAACAAAACAACAAAACAAAAACCCCAGGATTCAGTGCCCCTGTCATTTCCTCGCCCTTTTCTGGCTCTCTGATTGGTGGCAAGAAGTTGGTCTTTTCTGAGCCTCACTGTCCTCTCTGCAGTAAAGCACGGGCAGTGTGACCTGCCTGGCACACCCCAGGATCCTGGGCACACACCCACTTGGAGCCTGGCACAGAGGAGGCTCCTGCTTCCCTGTTGCAGCTGATCAACACAGCCAGCCACTGCCGCACCCCAGTGTCTTAGTCAGCGGTCTGCTGTCATGAGGAGACACCATGACCACGTCAGCTCTTACAGAGAAAGCATGTAACCAGGGCCTGGCTTGCCATTTCACAGGTTTAGTCCATCATCACCACTGTGGAGAGGATGGCGGCATACAGGCAGGCATGGTACTGAAGAAGTAGTTGAGAGCTATTTCCTGATCTGCAGGCAGAGAGAGAGACAGAGACAGAGACAGACAGAGAGACAGAAAGACTGAGCCTGGCCGGCATGGGCTTTTGAAACCTTAAAGCCTTTCCTAAGTGACAAGGCCACACCTCCCAATCCCTCTCAAATAGTGCCACTTCCCCATGACCAAGCATTAAATATATGATGAGCCTATGGGGGCCACTCTTATTGAACCACCACTCCCAGCCACAGGCGGCCCCAGCCGGATCCTTAGCATCCCTCACCTTAGGGACCTGGAGTTTCCTTCTCCCCAGGACTTCCTGGGACTCCCGGACAACTGCTCAGGAAGACAGCTTTGAAGGCTTCTAGTTCCCTGGGTTCTGCATGGAGACACAGGGTCACTGGGCACAGGGTGGACATGTCTCCTCCAGACTCCTCTGCAATTCCTTCTACCTCCCAGACTCTAGACGTTAGGGTATCTGCTTCCTGAGATGACAAGGTTTTGCAGTATTTGCATCCTATTTACATACATTTGCGTGAGCGGCCCAGATTATCAAACTCTTACCTTTTTGGGGTTGAGGGAAGAATGAAGAGCGGGTTGACGTGGAGAGCCACCTTTCAGCTCCCTGGGCAGCTGGGGTGAGCCTGGGCCCTCAAGCAGGCAGCCCTTCAAACAGGAGAGCAGGAACAGTCGGGGCCGAAGTAGGTCCATGTTGCTGGGACCACCAGTGGGAGGGCACCAGCTTAGAAGAACCAGGCCGTGAGGGTGGTAACTTGAAACAAGACTTCTTCTCATTGTCTCCCAGGGACATCCCACCCAGACTGGAGCCAGCAGGGTTTTCCTCCCTCGGGCTCCAGGGAATTGATATTGCCTCTGCCTGTTCACCCTCACATCCAGGGCTCAGCAGCCATCTCTCCAGACCTCACCACTCATCCCTGTGGATTCTCCCCACCCCCGCTCCTACCTCCCCCATCCCACACCCAACCCCAGTCACTCACTGGGCATTCACACCTTCTAGGTAGAGTTTCTCCTTTAGTCTCCTCCTGTGTGGCTCTGCTCTCTGTGAAGGTCCAGCCCTGTTGCTGTCTCCACCACCTGTCCTTGTCAACAATATTAATAGTGGCCATTGCCACCCTGTATGGGTCGCCTGTTACACTCAAGTGTCACTCTTAGTCACCTGGTGGTGTTCGCTAGTGCATATGGAGGTCAGAGGTCAGTGCTGGATGTCTTCCTCACTTTCTACCTGATTGAGAAAAGATTTTATTCATTTTATTTTATTAATTTATTTGAGACGGGATCTCTATTATGTAGCCCTGGCTGTCCTGGAACTCGCTATCTAGATGAGACTGGCCTTGAACTCACAGAGATCCGCCTGCCTCTGCCCTCTGAGTGCTAGGATTAAAGGGGTGCTCTATACCAGGGCCAGGGCACACTTGCCTTCTATGTGGGAGCAGAGGATCTGAAATGCTCGCACAGCAAGAATCTTACTGACTTACTCATTTCCCCAGACTCCAGTTCCCTACCATTGGTCCTGCTACAAAGTAGATGCCTAAGAAACCACAGGTCCAGGACAGGCACCAGAACTACACGGGAAACCCTATCTCGAAAAGCCAAAAAAAAAAAAAAGAAAAAAAGAAAAGAAAGAAAGAAAAAAGAAAAAGAAAAAAAAGGAAAAGAAAAGAAAAAAGAGGCTCATGCCAGGCATGGTGATGTAAGCCTTTAATGCCAGCACTGGTGAGGCAGAGGCTGGCAGATCTCTGTGAATTTCAGGCCAGTCTGTTTTACCAAGTGAGTTCTAGGCCAAGGCCAGCCATGGCTACGTAGAGAAACCCTGTCTCAAAAACAAAACAAAAACACAGAGCTCAGAGATGAGCCACGCTTTTGCTATATACCACGCTTACATGTCCAAAGCCACAGAACAGTCAGCCAATCCCTGTACAACAACCCCCACCCCAGCCAGAGACAGAAGCACCCTTAGGGAAGTGCCCTGACCGCTTGTTCCATTTTGAATTCCTTGGAGCCTTGGAAACATCTGTTAGCACAGGCAAATCAGTGGGGGTCAGGGTGCCTAGAGGCAGGAGGCTTGGCCCAGCTGTGAGAGGTAAGCCTGAGCTGAAGAAGAGCATGATGTGATGGGGGAGAAGGGAGGGGAATGGGACCTCTGAGGGCCTGTTCTTTGTCAGGCCCAGTGTGAGTGGAGGGGGGACAGCTGGGGTACAATGAGGTGTCAGGGGAAGCAAAGGCTGTTTGTCTGTGGGGTGGATGGATCCCTGAGAGGGATGCCCTGAGCTTCTACAGTCCACCGCTCGGGATCTGTCTCTCCCAAGCCTGCCTTCAGCAGCGCCAGGCTTTGCACACGGGCCTCTACATGGCTACTTATGAGTCAATATGGAAATGACCCCAGCAGTCATTGATAGGATCCAGGCAAATAAATTATGACCATCTGGACAACTCACAGGATGCATCTGATCTGTAAGGAAGCAGTGACTACAGAACAGCACGGACCCACTTTGTGCTATAAAAGAGCTAAACATGTGTACAGAGGTTGTAAATTCACAGAGAACCGTCTGACATACACCGGTATCTGCAGTTATCTCTGGGAGCGGCCAAGGGAAGGAGTGCTTGTCACCCTTTGTCTTGTTTTTCCATTGTGATAAACACCGTGACCAGGGCAACTTATAAAAGAAAGCGTTTAACTTGGGGGTTCATGGTTCCACAGGGTTCGAGCCCGTGATCCCCATGGCCGGAAGCACAGCAGCAGGCACACGGGCATTGTGCTCAGCAGTAGCCGAGAGCTCACAGCGGATCCTCTGATCGGAGACGGAGAGCAGGAGCTAATGGAGAACACGGAGAACACGGCTTGGGCTTTCACAACCTCAAAAGCCCCCACCCCCGGTGACGTGCTTCTTCCACCAAGGCCACACCTCCTAATCCGTCCCAGACAGTTCCAGCGACAGACCCAGCTTTCCAGGATATGAGCCCGTGGGGACCATTCTTTCTCAGCCCTCCTTTCATCACTTTGTTTTGTTTTTGAGACAGTTTTTAAGGCTGGCCTTAAACTCTCGGCATCTTCTCCCCCAGCCTCTTGAGAACTATGATTACAGGGATGCACCGCACCTGGCTTTATTTTTACATTTCTTTCTTTATCTGGGTGTGTGTGTGCCATATTACATGTGTGGAAGTTGAGGGCAACCATGTAGGAATAGAACTCAGGCTTTTGTTTGTTTTTGTTTTTGTTTTTCGAGACAGGGTTTCTCTGTGTAGCTTTGCGCCTTTCCTGGAACTCTCTTTGTAGACCAGGCTGGCCTTGAACTCACAGAGATCCGCCTGGCTCTGCCTCCCGAGTGCTGGGATTAAAGGTGTGAGCCACCACCACCCGCCTGAACTTGGGCTTTTACCTTCTGAGCCATCTTACTGGTCCCTATTTATTTACCAGTATTACTATTTTTACCTGTTTATGAGACAGGGTTTCATGTAGCCAAGGCTGGAGTTGAACTCCTGATCTTCTGCCTGTATTACAGATGCAAACCACACACAGCCCCACCTCCCACCGAGGCATGTTATTTGGGATTCTCCTCACTGTGTGTTTCCGTCTTGCCACTCCATGGTCCGTGGTGACAGCTGAAGGTGTCAGTACAACGAAACCAAATGGATGGATGGCAGCAGATTCTCCTTCCTCTTTCCATGCTTACAAGCTGAGCATCGGGTCTGGGGCTGATCCCTCCACCCTGTCTAATCTACCCGTAAGATTGACAACGATGTTCCCAGCTCTGTGGCCATCGGTGATTTCAAATTTGCCAAGGTAGCCACGGTTCATTACCACAGCTAGAGACCAGATGGTGACCTCGGAGCACGGCCTCATAAGGATCTCCAGCCTTGTGGACGACCTCTGAGCACAGCCGGGCATTCGAATGTGTCATCAGGGCAGCTTGGAAAGATGGGGGAAGGAGCCTGCTCCAACACTTTTTTCTTTAAGATTTTACTTTGCTTTTGTTTTTGTTGTTGTTTTGTTTGTTTGTTTTCACAGGGTTTCTCTGTGTAACAGCCCTGGCTGTCCTTGAACTCACAGAGATCCACCTGCCTCCCTGAGTGCTGGGACCACCGCCCTGCTGTCCTGGAACTCATTCTCTACTTTTAAAGGAAAAGACAGAATTTGATAAAGGAGGGAGACACAGAAAAGCAGTCAAGCAGAGAGAGCTGAGGGAAGGGCAGTATGTCAGGAGGAACCACAGATGCAAAGGCTTAGAAAAAAGAAGAAAGCAAGATGGCTGGAAACCGGAGATTCAGGGAGCTAAAGGAGGCTGGTGTCTGAGTGGATAGATGTGGGCCTTGCAAGGACGCAGAGGAAGGAGAGTACTAAGGAAGGGACCCACATGTGGCTGGTGATGCCGTATGTGAGCAGGTGAGCCCCAAGGCCAAGGAGTAGCTGGAACTACCTGTAGATCCCAGGTTCTTGTGAGGCTCCTCAGCTGCAGCCAGAGACCCCCTTGGGAACACGAGTGCTCTGGAGAAGAATGAATCACATCCGCCTGCTCTGAGCCTTTCCACAGCCAACCAAGATGTTGTCCCTCTTTACAGGTAAGAAAGTGAGGCCCAGAGCTGTGAGATTCCTAGAGTGGGCATTAGCGGAGCTTACAACCTCCTAGCTGGGACAGAATGTTCGAGATAAGACCCCAACACAGGCCTGGAAGCAAGCACAGTGCCAGGATTGTCTTCTGCCTGCCAGAGAGTCCCAGGAGTGCTGCTACCCCCCCCACCCCCATCCCACCCCCTCAGCTTTGGAGCTTAATTTTAGGGACAGAGAGTGGCAGAAGCTTCCAGAAGGGAATCCTGGTGTTCTGTTCACCCTAGAGTCAGAAATCTTAGACTCCAACCCCAACTCAGTCTCTCCAGGGGTGCCGTCATCCAGGGGTGCTGTCACGAGTGAGCTGGTGGTGTTACCTGGCTGGTGGCCGTACTCTCTAGAAGAGGGTCAGTCACCGCAGAGGTGACTCAGTGAGTAAGTGCCACTGATGTGCAAACACGAGTTCCTGAATTTGAACGCCCAGCACCATGTAAAAAAGCAGGAATGGATAGGTTTACCCAGCACTAGGGCAGGGGCCTGCAGACAGAGACCGGCAGGGTCCAGCTGTCTGGCCAACTGGCTAGACAAAATGTCAAGCTTCCAGTTCAGTGAGAGACACCGGCCTCATGACAATGAGAGGAAAAACAATAAAAAGAGACATCAATAAAAGGAGACATCCAACTTCCTTCTTTGGCTTCTGCACGCTCACACAAGGGGGTGTGTTCCTGCGTACTCACACGCACCACACACAGATACACTACACACACACACACACACACACACACACACACACACACACACACGCTACACATACACCACACACAGATACACTATATACACATATGTACTACACACACACACCACACAGATACACTACACACACATGCTGTACACACACACACCACACAGATACACTACACACATATGCTACACACACATATACTATACACACACCACATAGATACACTATATACATACCACATATGGTACACACACACATACATGCTCACCACAGTTACACTACACACATACATATGTTATACACACACACCACACAGATACAACTGCACACACACACACATAAAAATCACATAAAAATAAAATTAACCTGAGGAAAAAAATATCCCAGATGAACTTCGTTTTTGTTGTGATGATTTGACTTTTTTGAGATGGGTCTCATGTGATTCAGACTGGCCTTGCATTCATTTGCTTACATTTTCACTCTAATCAGTGATGACCTTGAACTCCTGGTCCTCCTAATTCTACCAAATGCTGAGGTGACAGGTATGCATCACAATGCCTGACTTGAAAATAAAAAATTTTGAGGCCTTATGTAGCCAAAGCTAT